CCCCACGAGCCCCGAGCCCCGTCCTCCCCGTCCCTGCCGCCCTCTATCCTTCATCCTGCTCGCGCTGTACATCAGAGTCACCGGTGCTTCGCCAGCCTCGGACGAATTTTCCCTCAACCCTTTTTTTAATGGGTCAGCCTTTGCCCGCGCGCGCACGCCGAGCACAAAAACCGCCCTGCCGCGTGTTCCACGGCTATAATCTGCGAAACTATGGCCTGGCCAGTTTTCTCGTGGACATCGTGCCTCGCTGATTTTTCCGTATCTTTAGTCGTTTCAACCCTTTGCATTGAAGAAACGCCTATCAGTCGCCGATTGATTTGACACAGAATTGTAAAGTTTGATATTTAATAAATTTTTGAATTATCGAGAGAAAATAGTATTTTTCCTGAATGTATGAGTTCTCGCTGCGTCAGTATTAGGAAATGTCAGTCGCATCTCATTGGAGAATATTGAGTATCTCCAATTGAAAAACTTGGAGTGCAAAGGGTTGATATAGAAGAATTGTAAAAGTTTGATGGTTGATATTAAGCTTCGCATGATGCACTAATATATGGAACATTGAAATAAAATTTTGTTGAGAATGTTGTTTGTATCTCATCAGAAGATATCGAATATTTCTAGCGAGAAACTTTCGAGTTCAAAGGGTTGACAGTTTCAACGGTATCCGGTTGTGCTTCGCTCCGAGCTGGTCGCTTTTTCTACTGCTTCTAACGATTGTTTTATAGTCCCTTTGATTTCGAGGGTAAATTCCGGGACAGTGTGAACTTTTACTTTAGGGGATGGAATCTAGGAAAGTATCGTCGTCTGGTTTCACGTCTCTGAACTAAACGAGTCTTTTCCGCTGTTTCTTGTCGGGGGGTAGGAAATTTCGTGCTGGAACCGTTTTAACGGTTCCTTTGGCGTAGCGGTTGCTTCTGGGAAGCACCCTCTTTCGGTTTCAGATTCTAAACTGGTCGAGCCGTGTTCCCCGGTAACTCTCGCCGGAGAGACTCGAAGTTCCGTGTACTTACGAGCTGTTTTAATAGTTCCTCCAGCGTTGGGGGCTGATACTAAAGAAGTAACAGTTTTTAGTTTAGAGGGTGAATTCTATAAAAGTATCATCGTCCGACTTCAGGGCCCTTGAGCGGACGAGTTGCGTTTCGTTATTGATCTTCCTCGAGGAGACTCGATGTTCCGTGCACGGGCTGTTTTAACGGTTTCTTTGATTTAAGGGGTAGATTCTGGAAAAGTTTTATGTTTTGGATTTGGCAGCTCCGATCCGCGAGGAGAATCCAGCTATATTTCCTCCTCGTTTTTGTTCGGTAGTTCTGTATGCCGAACGTTCCACAGGATTCTTTCCTGTTCGAGGTAGATTCTTGAAAGCAAAGTAACTTTTTCTTCAACTACTCGTCCCTCCGATTTTTGACAAACAGTTCTGTTTACTCGACAATTCATCAACGTAGAAGCGATCATCGGGAAAATTTCAAGACTCGAACACGTTTCAGAACTTCGAAAATTTCGAGCAACCTTTTATCCACCCCTACACACGGGTGTCACCTAATTCTCGCCATCGTTACACGCCCCGCCCAGTTTATTAATTACTGTAATTGACCGTGCATTACATCAGCCAACATTATCGCGTTGCGTGTCACGTTCATGCACAGGTGACACCGATGTTTCTATCGGAACCGTGTCATTTAAACACGTACCCACACGCTTAACAATTGATTCGTATCGTTCACAGAGATACACCACATTCGAACCTCGAGTGACGGGTACAATAACGTACCCACCTCGGAGCACCATCCAAAACAGCCTGTTTAAAGAAACAAACGCGCGTCTCCTCCCGGAGCGGAATTTTTATGAAATTCCGTCGGCGCGGAATGTGCTAAACGAACCCCGAAAACCCGGACATCCGCCCGCCCGTCCTCCCGCGCTGGAAATTAATCCGCAGCCGGGAAGAGCGGCGGGCGCCGAGTCTCCAATGAAACCGTCCCCGAAACCCGGTTACCCGCGAATTACTCGTTCGATCAAAGAGTAGCCCCCGAGGCATCCCAGGTGCGTGTAAAATTTCATATCGGCCCGGCGGTGGTTCGCCGATCCCCTATGAGCGTCTCCGTTTCATCGGCGCTTACCCCCGCCGCCGCGCCGATACCGTGATCCGCGCGCGATAACGCCCGTTTATTGCATGCCGCTAACCCCCGATTGACGCGGGGGAAGAAAAAGATTTCACGGGGAGACGCCTAAACACGTCCGCCGGCCTCCCTGCGCCGTTCATCCCCGAAATATTGAATCCCGGGCATTGAGCGCGATCGACCCGGCCCCGGACACCCTCGTCCTCCGGCTTTTATATCCCGCTCACCTGTGAAGGACACGTTCAGCAGATAATTCCTGTAGAAGACGCCCCGGTCGTAGTTCGCCATGGTGGTGCACAGGCCGATCCTGTTCGGGCACATGTCCCTCTGCAGGTTGTGGAGGGCGTAGCCGAACGCGTACACCGCGTCCACCACGAACTGCACCTTGGACTCCTGCTCGTAGCCGGTCGCGGCGGTCAGCCGCAGGTTCGACGAGCACGCCGTGCCGTTCGGGCTGAGGAGCGGCGACTTCTTCAGCACGCAGCCGAACACTTCCTCCCAGTACTCGGCGAACCACGGGTTCCGCCGGTTCTTGTCGGGCGTCAGGGAGGCCATGTAGTCGTCGAACCCGGGTATGTTCTTCGACTGCAGCTCGACCGTGATGGCTCCTTCCGCTTCCTCCTCGAGACCTTCCACCAGTTTGGTCTGCCTGCCCCAGCCGTCGCTCGCCAGCCATTGGAACGGCTGGCTGAGGTTCGACCTCCTCGCTGCCTCCAGGATACCCCTGGCGTCCTCGGCGCGAGTGAACAACACCACTGCTCTGGCGTTCGACTTCTTGCTCAGACGCAGGATGATGTCGTCGAAGACGTGGTCGTCCGCTGCGCTCGGCACCTTCAAGGCCGCCGCTATGCACACGTTCCTCTCGGTCGCCTCGCGCGTGAACACCTCTATGCCGTACTCCCCGTAGCTACCCTCGGAGTACACGGTCGAGACGTACGACCAGTTCGCGCTTTTCACCACGTCCACCAGGGCGATCGACTGGAACGTGTCCGGCGGCACCGTTCGCGCGAAGTAGTCGAACCTGGGGGATTAGAGACCTGTTAAGGGTAGTTTCAACCCCTTGGCCTACACGCTATCCGATCGCGCGAGCCATAGTAAGGTCGGAATCGAAGGTATTCACCGCGAGTCAGACTCGTTTTCGCTTATGGCACAAATTACGAGTCTCGCTCGTGGTGAAGAATACCAACATGATTCAACGAATATATATATTACTCGGTTCATTCGAATTCAAAGTAAACATTCCTCTGTAATCAATTATACTTAAAAGGAAATATAGGCGTAACATATGCTTAGAATTTTTCTCTTTCTCTAATAAATCATTAATGACAAAGTAGCCGTATCGATCAGAGTTGAGAGAGAAATCATAGTTCAAGGGGATAAGGACGCTCTGGATCAACGGTCGTCGACTTTTCCCTCTGAATCTCGTGATTTGATTTCGAATTAACGCGTTGCAAACAAGTGGCTCGACAGAGACTCGAAGCTTTGGCACGATAAGATAAGCAGCCTTACGTTTATTTCCACCCGAAACTCGCGTGATACAATAAGTCTAAATGATCCTTTTATCGGAATCCCGACGGATTAACCTAGAGAGTATAACCTGGTCTTGTCGCTAAGCGCCTTGGCGGTGGACGCGGGCGATATCTGGGGAATGTGGAACAGCCTGAGCAGATTGGCCACCTGCAGGGACACCGAGCTGTACGATCCGCCGATAACGCCGAAGATCGGGCCCGCGGTGGCGGTCTTCTTCACCTTGGGCACCGACTTGTCCGCGCACTCGAGCACGCTGATGTCCAGATTGGACAGGGACGCCCGGACGAAGTGCAGGCTCTGATTGAGCGCGTACGTGTCCCGGCCGCAGGTGTCCAGGATGTGGACGCCCAGCACGATGCCGGGCAGCATCTTCTTGTTACTGTTGATCTGGTCGACGGCGAACAGCATTGCCTCGAGACGCTGCACGCCGCGGTTGTAGACGTTGGGGCCGCAGGACGCGCTGCCCTTTTCGTGGACGGGGAACAGGCCGCCCAACACGATGTCGCCGGGGATCAGCACAGCCTCCCGCTCGCTGTGGAGCTTCGACTGCGCCACCAGCGGCAGCTGGTGAAGCGACATCAGGAGCAGCAGCGTTCGGCCAAGAAGCTGGCTCATTTTAGCCGCCTGCTGAGGAACGGTCGTCTTCACGAGGTATCGCGCATCTTGCGCTATCGCGCGGCCAGCCGGCGCGCGATCTGATTCCACTCGTCTCGAGGAGCCGCTGCGCGGCCTCTTCTCGGTGCGGAGGCGGCCGGGGGTGCTCTCTGGAACGACAGAGGGCGGCTTAACGCGCGTTGTCGGCTCGTCGTCTGAAATTAAGATGTTTCGAAGGGTAGTTCGGCTCTATGAAATTATCACGGTAGAATCTCGAGCGTTTTACGAGATTGCCGTCGGACTCTCGCCTCGGCATTAACATTCCGAGGATTCGCGAGGTGACTTTAGAAGCTTACGAGATTAGATGACTGTCGGACATCGAGGTTCCACCGTGATACCGTATCTACCCTGTTAATCTGGGATTTATCATTATCGTCGTCCGATTCCCAGCTGTCTTATATATTTACCTAGGGATTCCTAACGATCATAATAATATCACCGGCGGCACGAGGTAGGCAATCTGTCCGAAGCATCGTTGACCAACGCCGCGCAGTGAGATCGATCAGCGTGCTAGCCGGTGCCCCGATGCGAATTTAATGTCCTTTCACCGAGGCTGCACCCTTAGCGATGCCTCCGGGATCCGAATCCACTTTCGAAGTACTTGCAGCGGGGTTTCTTTAAAGTCGACCGGTCGACTGCGAGCTCGGTACCCGGCTGAGTGTAGTTTAATGGGTACTTCGGGCCGAAGTTGCGCTACCCGCCGTGGCTTCGCGTTGCCTTCTCCGCGGCGGGGATCACGCCGCTCGAGGAATGTCGAAATTAGGTTCCTTTAAAGTCGATCAGTCGACTCCGGGGCGCGGTGTCAAAGCGCCGTCGCGATTTTCGTTCAAAAGCCTCCGGCCGTCTTCCTCCGCGCGTCTTCTTCTCGAAGCAAAGTCCCTTTAAAGTCGATCAAACGACTGCGATACCAATCGCAAGTGTCTTCGCGGCCGACAATTCTCCCGGGTAGCTTCGAGTATGTTTCCACCGCGGGAATCCCGGCGGAAAGTCTCTTTAAAGTCGATCAATCGACTGTACCGCGGCTTCCGCGTGTCGGACCTATTGTCTCCTAGGGAAGATCGTTTAGGTGAGAGCAACGGTGCTCGATCGGCGTAGAAAAAAGCGTTTTCTGGGTACTCGATTAAGCTTTCATCAGCACCCCGGATATTTGTATATTCTAGGCCAATTTCGATTAGTTTCTGCGTTCATGGAGTCTATATTAGACCAGCTTCACCTGAGATCACCGAAAAGCTTGCGAGGATGTTAGGTCCGTTTAGAATCGTTTCGTCGAAGAGGAGTCTTATTCGATTGATTATCCTTGGATTCAGCGACTAGTCTATACGTTCGCATAGTTGCACTATTAGCACCCTAGTGTCCACAGTGTTCATCGTTCCGTAGACGTCGCACAGTGAACGTCTCGACACGTCCCGGTGGATCGAAGCGTCCCCCAATCTCGTCCAGCTTCTTCGAAGTGGATCCTCCAGGCGTCCCCGACTCGATCCCTCCGCCTGCGCGTCCGCGTAAGCAATCGCGATATTAATGCGTCAGGATTCGGAGGAAACCGGAGAAGATTACCGGAACGTTTTATCGATCGCGAGCACGCGGCCCGTAGCCGCCGCACGACCGGAAGCATGCTATTTCCCGGCCGGGCGACCCGGAAAAACGTTCCTCCGTCGATTCCGCGAGACGCACTCCCACGATCCCGGCGATTTCCGGCGCCACCGGCGGTTTCCGGGCTCCCGCGGCCGACGTACGGCGCGACCCAGCCAGGGAAAGGATGTTTCTAGGTCTTTACGGGGCGAAAACTTCCGGCCCCTTTACGGCTTCGCGCGGAAATCGTCGGAAGCGAGACTTCTTTCGTCCCTTTCACGAGCGCGGTGTTCGAAATAAATTCTGCAATTCATCGCGACACGGGGAACACTCAACGGCGAAATTAATCTATCAATTCCCAGCTTTCGTTCCGAATTCCCACAGCGACGCGAACCACGATGTTCGCGAGATCAGTTTGTTTTTCCACTCCCGGTAATGGAGTTACTTATGAAAAAACCGGCGAATGGAAAGCTGCGTCGTACTTTGCGGAATTAACGATGGATTAATACGCCCGTCCGTCCGTGGAACACCGAACAATTTCATTCGGCGGTATCGCCGACGATTACCCGCCGATCCCGCGGAGCACGATCGGCTCCGGCCGTCGGCAGAAATATTCATCCCCGTCGTCGAAAATCCGATCTTAATAAAGCGAGCCGTTCCATCCCGTCCCGCCGCGGCGTCGGCGAAACATTTCCCTCCGCGCGGGATCGCTTCCGTTTAATTCCTTTGATCAAACGGTTCCCGCTGAAGGTGGAGCGGCGGCACTCGATTTAACAAGAAATAATCGTCCCGTTTTAAATCCCGGCTGAAATCTCGCGGAAATACCCGGCGAATCGCGCGCGCCGAGCCTCTAACGCGGCGCGACGGCCATCAGCTGCCGTGTCTCTCCCCCTCGGCAGTCTCGAATTAATATCGCAGGTAACAAATGAGGAGCAAAACGAGAAAAACACGCGGCGGAACGAGAGCGGAGCCGGGGGAGCGGGAGGATAAAGTCGGAAACGCGCGAGCCGCGGAGAAGGAAAGAACCGAGGAGAGGCGGGGCGGCGGAACACGAGGAAAGGAACGCAGTTTCCTCTTTATCTTTCCCGTCGAGCAGCCAGATATTTTCTTTTTCACCTCTATTTTCGCGTGCGCTCGCTCGCTCGCTCGCGCGCACGCTTGCCGGGCTTCATTCGATTTAACTCGACGTGACCGAGTCAGCCGCTATTTAGGACGATTTCACTCTTACTCCTTTCTGAAAAGCCGCGACGGATAGCGAGAAAATAGAGAGCCAGAGAGAGAGAGGGAGAGAGAGAGAGAGGATGGCAGGAAACGGTGCAGGGGTAGGAGAGACGGAAAAAGGGAGGAAAAAGAAGAGGTGGTCGAGGCGACTAGCCGTACACCGGCGCGCTGGGTGCAGCCGTCAGCGTCGAAACGGCTGCGAAATCCTCGGGGCCTGCCTCTCGCTCCTTCGCGGGCTCGTTAAATTTCCCGACTCGTACTCGTTAAGCGGACTTAATTTCACGGAACTCTAACAACCGTGCCTCCCGACGACCGGCTTTAAATTCGAGGGTCCTCCGACATTTTTCCACCTTCCGCCATCCGCGCGCCGCCCTCCGCCGCTCCCTTAAGATCGCCGTCCGATCCGCGCTGAACCCCGCCTCGCGTCGGCGCCGCCTCTCGCGATTGTTTCGCTCTCCCGCGAATTATTCGCGAGCCTTCCGCCGTGTTCGTGGAATTAGAGACGTCGTGCTCCGAGATTCGAGTTTATTATGCAGATAGGATCATTCCATTGTCGGAGCCTCCCTCTTCCGTGGAATCTCGTTCGGCCGTTTTTACTCGCTCGAGGGCTGCGCCGGGCTCTACACAGCTCGACCGACGCGATTCAGCGTTAGACGCTCGTCTCGGGAGATCAATTAATTCCCGTCCCGTTCCCTCGATTCAGTTTCGCCCGCGCTACGCTTCCCGCAAATATTATTGTTTATCGTCGTAATATTATTACCCACGTAATACCGGGTAAACGCGAATCGGAGATTCAGCGAGGTTTGCGTTACGAGCTCCATTGTTTCCGTCGTAACGCCGAGATGTTGGTAAACACTCGCACCTGCTCGATAACAGGAGCGGAACCACCGGCGATAAGGGACTATTGTCGGCAGTTAGCGTCGATTAGCGTTGCTCGAATTCGGCGCGCCCCGGGCCGTTTAAGTACACGGCGGTTAAAGTAATATCCGTTCCGCTAATCGCGGCCGTTCTTCGTTTTCAATCGCGTTCCGCGGATAAACAAAGCTCGGTGGCCCGCGCGGCGAACAAATAGAACCGAGCGCCGGGCTGGCCCGGCTGATTGATAACGAGAGCGGACCGAACGCAAATCGGGGGACCATTTTTTTCAGCACCGGTGTCAGGCCATTATTTCCCGGAGAGCCGGTCTCTTTCGCTCGATGAAAAGGGGAAGGGAGGGGTCGGGAGGGGGAAAGAGAAAAAGGAACGCGATACCCTTAGCCGCAAGATAGACGTTCAAATGGAACGTGCATATCGAAAATTTGTCACGTCGCGAGGCCGCGTTACGAAATCCCACAAAGTAAATGGAGGTTTTATGCAAAACGCGCTTTCAGTCTCCGGCAACCGTCACCCCCTTAGTTTCTTGAAGGCACGCTCTTTGTTAGCCGCTCACCCTCGGCCCACTTCTGTCGCGCGTGTCCGACGTGCGCGACATTTGGAACAATTTGTCCAGAATTTTTATTTGCGCCACGCCGATTACCTCCCTCGATCCCCGATTCGCGTCTTCTATACCGATCGGTTTCGTCGCACCCCCCGTCGACGATAAACGAATTCCCGACAGACAACGGTTTCAGGTAAACCGAATCCGAACGGCGATAAATATTTCCCGTGGAACCGCCTCGAATCGAATCTAGTCCGAGTAAATTGAAATCATCTTCGACTTGGATTATACAGGAAATGGAAGCGAACAGCGTCGTTCTTGAATTTTCGATTTATATTTCACGGCGTAAATTGAGATCCCGCCTGGTGGAGTTTCTTTGCGTGACGTTACAGCCTGAAAGTCGGGATAGAAATAGTAGGTGTCGAAAAATTGTATCCGCGGTGGCTGTCACCCGAAAATCAAGTCCGAACGCGAACAATCCACGCGGGGTTACTGTCGGCTCGTTTCGCGTCCCATTTTCAAACTCGATTACCTCAGAAACGAACTTCTACGTTTCCGATCAATTTTTCGGCTACGGGGATATCGCGTTCCGCCCCCGTTTGCCGGCGCGGACGCTCGGAACGCGCGGAAACGAGCTCGGCGCAGTCGAGATCGATCTTCCGCGGATGGATCGAAACGCCGGCGGAATTCTCGCGTATCTCGATTGAAACTGGCTTGTTCCGAATATTTAACAGATATTTATTTCACCGGTATACGGGTGAAAGCAATTTGCATAAAGTAAATACTGTATGAACGCGAGCGGGTAATAGATTTATGGAAAATAAGAGACAACAGAGAAATATTGTTTCTAAAGTCTTCTAAGCGTGTAGAATAATTCAATTACTGAAACAAGAACAGATTCACGCGTGTTTCATTTTTCAGTGATTAAAACGTCGTTGAATGATATACCTTGTCTAAAGACTATCCAGAAGTTTAACACGTTGAGAAATGAAAATAATTCTAATTCATAAGACAACTGACGTCAATTCAAAATGTCCATTAAATAACTAGATAACAGTGTAACGTAAGAATCCTGGTAGCGAGTAATTAATATTTCCCATTTTATCTTCGCTACGAAGGAATAAGTGATAAAACACTCATTTTCCGTGGCACTCAACGCGTCAACACATTGCGGCCCGGTAACGAGAAATCTCGTTTTTATATAGAGACACTTAGCTATGCAACTTCGCTAATTACCACAGTATTGAAAAAATGTAAAATTTAATTCGAATTGATTATCTATCTAAAATCTATTACACAACAATATATCTGAGTTTTTCTATGTAAGTTGACCTCACTGAAAATTGCCATCACAATTCAGTTTTCTGAAAATTAGCCTGTCCGCAACGTATTAACCCTTTGAACTCTGTAAGCTCCAATATTGCACCACTTATAATATTAAATATTTTAATGAATCTCAAAGAAACTACCCTAAAGTTATTCGATTTTCCACGCATCCAAATTTTGTACTAAGAAGAAAAATAAAAGATCGAAGAAACGTTATAGCATTTCTCATTTAATGTCAAAGACACTTAGCTATGCAACTTCGCTAATTACCACAGCATTGAAGAAAATATAAAATTTAATTCGAATTGATTATCTATTTAAAATCTGTTACATAACAATATATCTGAGTTTTTTTCAATTTTTCTCTTCGAAGGGCTAAATTGCAACGCTTCCAAGAGATTAGACGTAGAATCTATACGTTGATAATATTCGCGTATTTTCGTCGTCGCGCGCGGCGCAGTTCCTCCTGGAACGGAACTTCCGTCTCCCACCCTTGGTATCTGGCCAGCGCTAAACAAAAAGCGGGTACCTTCCTGTTTTCCCGTTTCGAGTATCGAGCGAGCCGAGCGTGGACGCGCGGCGAGCACTCTGGATATTTACCGTGGACGGTTTCCCAGCGATTTCGTCGGCCTTCCAATCTACCGATAAATCGATTTTTTCCCCGACACGAAACCGGAAGACTCGTTGCCCTCTCCTCGGAGGAAGCGGCGCGAGGGCTGCCACGCGTTAGCTTCCGCTGTCGCCGGCCCTTTGACGCGCGGCGCGCGCAGTTGTCGACACGAATTAATTTAACGAAGGCACTTAACGTTGATAATATCCACACGCCAGTGGAACTAAGTTAATTAGCGGGCGACGTCATCTTCTTTTGCGAGAGGACGCCCCTTTGCGACAATTTCGCGACCATTTCAAGCGTCGCCTTGGCGCAATCGCGCGTGTGCTCGATGTTCGTTGGAT